TAAAAGATTTTCAAAACCATTGATCATTCTTTTCCTTGTCAGAATCTTTCACCACTTTGTGATTGTTTGTCACATAAAACCAAATTTTTTGTGTTTTTAAAGTCACGGAATATAGAAGTGGAGTAAAAACATTGATGCACTAAATTAATTTCTGTTTCCAAGTTCTCCCCACATCCTGTTGTGACTCATTTCATCTTTTACATTGGCGCCCCCTTCCTAAAGAGGTCACACACCCGCTCTGTGGCCCCCCTACTGCAACAAAGAGAGAAATTTAGCAGGAGGCACTCTGTCAACGTGCCTCCTCTCCCACTGGACCCAGAGGAGCGAGCTCCACCTCCGAACCGGGCTGCGAAGCGCGTCACTATGGATTTCTCTCTGCTCAGTGGGCCTCTGTCTGACCCGCTGCTAGACAGAGACAGTGAAAATCAGAAAGCAGCTGCACACCAAGCAATGGATGGAAGTCATGAGGAAAACGTACCAATACAAGTACTCAGTTTGACGTTTGCTGGCTCTCCACCATCAGCTCTGGCCTGTAGCTCTACAGAGTCTTGATGGTCTCTTATAATTAAGTATCTGCAGCGTTTTGCACTTCTTTGGTGTGGTTTGGGCAGATATCTGCACAGTGTGTGTTTCCCACTCCAAGCTGCTTCAGGTGATGTTGCAGCAGCCTCTTTTATCCTCTCGTCTGTTTGTTTTTTGAGTGATCTCTACAGATATTATTCTCTCTACATCTTTCTCATCAAATACCAACATTTGTTTTCTGTCCTTTGTTTTCTTTGCCGTGTGAATCAGAGCCAGTGTGTGTCAGCGGTGGGAAGCGGCGTGCTGCGCTGTGACAAACTGGACCGAGATGAGATCGGGAAGCTGCTCATGTGCTTCCTGCACATCCTCAAGAGCATGTCAGAGGGTAGGACCGTAGTCACTGCCTTATTTGTTTTTAAGCATTTAAAAACCACAAACAACAGTGTATTTAATGGGATTTTATACGATAAACCGACTTGAGTAAATAACTTTATACAGTAAAGAAAAAAATTTATAGCCTAAAAAAACTCCAGTTCTGCCTGTTAACATGCGGCTAAAACCAGATACTGACAAATACTGTATAAAAAGATACTTATTTTCTCAGTATATGAAATAAAACAGACCAAAACTTCATGTTTAACGTCAGTAAGAATAGCCAAAACTATTTTTTCACTTCATATCCTATTGAAGGTACGGAGCCCCTAAAGGGACATGGAGGAAAAACTAAGCTTTTGCGAGATCCCACAATACTTTTGCAAGATCTCACAAAAATGTTTTGCCATGTCAGTGAACCGGAAGTAAAACAGACACACAACAGTGGAGGTGCAAAGTGTACTGCTATGGGAGGATAATACGCCCATGTGTCAGCCACAACCATTGAGGATGATTTGGAGAGGTTCTTAATTTCTATAAACTTTTGCGAGATCACACAAAAAATAAACTTTTGCGAGATCCCGCAAAACTTTTGCGAGATCATGCAAAAAATAAACTTTTGCGAGATCACGCAAAACTTTTGCGAGATCATG